AGGCGGAGACTCGCCAACTCACCGACCGGGCCCCGGGAATGGTTGCTAGATATAGCAACAGAGGGGCAACGAGAATGTGAGTGGCTGAAGGGTTAAGAAACTACCACCGCTTTCTACTCAGATCATCTGCTCCAGCCGAAGCCTCCTGCATCCCTGGCCCACTCGCGACTTACGAATAGTTTCTTACCCTCCGAGCAGGATCACTGCTCTCGCGACTCCACTCTGGACGGCCAATGAAGGCAAGCCAGAGGTGGGAGACCTGTTCCTTGTCATCGTTCACTCCAGCCAGCCAATTAAGGCAAGCCGGAGAAGAAGGAACGGTGACTTCTCCCTGGAGCACTCGGGATGATGGTAGCCCGCGGGATCGCTAATGCCCGTCACCTCGCCTCAAGGTGCCCTGCGGGCTTTATTATTATTATTATTATCTTATTGTTATGAGAATGTTAAAAATAAAATAAATTTATTGGAATATGCTCGGTGCGAACTGCGAGCCTTATATGGAATTTGCTAGAAAGAATTCTACGTCGGAATACCGCGGCCCTATCTACGCTATGGTAGACGTTTTTCTTTCTATATTTTGACGATATTCTTCTAACAGGAAACATTTTCACATTCCTACTCTTGTAGTTGGTCTCTCAGGGGAAAATTCAGTATTTCGGAACACGGTTTTGGTTCACCTTATATCAATTATGCACATCTCATACAGATCTTAAGCGCAAACGGAGCGGTGTAGAACCTTTTTTCTTTAAATTTTGGATTAGATATCTTTGTTTTTTTTTTTGTAAAAAGATAATGCAATATGATAGACATTAAATTCCAACATATTTTACATTAAAACAATTTTGTTCATGCTCATCTTTTGTTTATATTTTTCACTTTTTAGTTATTGAGGTCAAAATAATTTCATTTCGTTGGGATGGATTGTCATTCCAATAGTCATCCGTGCATAGGAAAGCACGCTGTGATGTCGGCTAACATTCCTTTGACATTCATATTGAAAAATCACACGGACTTTGTGTATGGGTTTGGTTGTGAATTCACGTTTTTTGTCAATAACAATAATAATATTTTGAAGATGACATAGCAATTAAATGTACAACCGGTTTAAATTTTAAATCCGACAATATTATCTGCTCCATTAGTAAAAAATCTGACTAAATGGACTTAAAATGTTATCTAGACGCCTAGTCTGGTTAGTTTAACCACATAATTCAACAACTTATTATAAAGGATCATATAAATTTTTTTATTGTTTCGTTACTTTCATCAAACCCAGATATATTTTTGTGTTATTAATGGATTAGTAAATTGCCCCATTACCGTAGCTTTGTGAACGAATATATCACTTGGGCGTAATGAACTCGTGTTAACGGTCTGAGAGAGAATTGTTGCGTGGACTTCGTACGTAATTGGAGTATATAAATGTTTCAGGAGAAAAGAAAAATCAACTAGAAATGAGACAACGAATAAGTTTTTTTAAGTTAAATGTTTTCTCAGGAAATTGAGGTAGATGCCTTGAAACGGCAGAATGAGCCCGAATCAGTTATCGGAGGTAACGTTGACTTTGAATACCTTATTCTGTAAGGAGTAATGATGAAACTTGAAGTATTAATTGCTAAGATACTTACATCATTTTTCCCCCTTTTCACTAAAAAGGCTGGTGACTCAGGTGCTTTTACCATCAGTATCATAGTTAACACGGGCACCCAAACGATGATCCATAATATAGTGTAGTAACTCAAGTACGCTCCCATCGCAAACATTGCCATAGTACCAATATTTTGGAAGAGTATTATGAAGGATCCGAGCACCCCTCTTATGTCATCCTGGCTTATTTCCCTGACGTACATTGGTACTACGTTGTAACAACCTCCGGCACCGAGTCCAGCAAGGAGTCTGGCTGTGATTAAAACTACTATATGTGCTGAAGATAGTTTTAATATCCATGAAAGCTGAAAACCAGAAGCTATCGTCAAAAACAATTTTAAGTACAAACAAATTAATTTCACGAGTACACTTTCAAAATGCTTAGAAACAACATGCACGTGTACCATTTAATAATAGACATGCTTGAAAAGTATGACAATATGATTAACTTCTAAGCGTGATTTCCTAATTAAAAATTGTGTCCCCCTTTATAACTTATACTACCAACAAAAAAATTTTGATTCTGTCGTCAAAATATTAACGAAAATAGTATCATTATGTTCTTATCAATATATAGCTAAGCAGATAGGTACCTAAATAATAATTGTATTTTTATCAAAAAAAATCTTACCGCTTGAAACGCAGCTATCAGTAGAACTGCAACTCTTCTTCCATATTTGTCGACGATGTATGTGAATAAAGAGACACCAAACATGGCTGCTAAGCAGATGGCACTGGCTATCCATGATATTTCATAATCTGACAACGGATAACCAGAAGGGGAGTTCTCTGATTGTAAAACTTTTGTCATCGGTGACACCCATCCCGCTTGAAACCCATATGTGAGGATTGTGGTATTCGCTACAAATGACAAATGAAGGAGTAAAGTAGGTGCAGTATAGTAGGTACGTGTTTTCGTGACTCTTTAATGGAATATGGAATATATGCACCAATAAAAAATAAAACCTAATCAAGTACAATAATGTTCATTTTTAATTCTCGCCGCTTTTTAAACGAGATGCAGAAGTTCCTAGCGCATTAATTAGTCATACAACAAAACAATACAAGTGCCAAGCTTACTAATTATAGGAGTAATGAGATATCCTTTGTTCCCCAAAGTGATCCGTGAAATGTATAGAGGACCTACCAACAAAGGATTACTATGATGTCGATACATTTTACGTAAAGCGTATAATTAAAATTGTGACTTAGTTCGTTCTTTTAAAGTAGAAATTTTAATGTCATTGTGTTTACAATTCGTTTGAAGTACTGTCAAAATCATGAGTGATAATTTGAATGCTCAAATTGCTGAATCATTTCTGATTATACGTACGGTTTGTTTAATTTACTTTACAATATATCGATGTCAAATATATTATACTTTAGTTGTGAAATCATAAAATATTACCTACACAAAATTGTTAAAAAGGTTTTTCTTCTGAGCTTAAGAATTAATGCAATTATAAATATTCCCTTTTTGGGACACTACTACAGTCATAGTCCATTTATATTATCATTAAGAATCATTTACTGCTGAACATAGACCTCCTCAAATGACCTCGTCAAATAGTAGAATAACGTCACAAAACTACAAATAAAAATTATTATATTTGGTTTAAATAAATAAAACATTTAAATTATACACCAAAGATAACTAAATAGCAACAAAACAGATAGTACATTATGTATACAAAAAATAAACCAATATTTTACCTACAATAGCCACCAGCACTTGGACATAAGTCTTCCCTTTTTTAGGCACATTATCCACATTTTCCGCTTCTGCCACATTTAATGTCATTGTTAGAGAATTTCTCACGTAACTGCGTGTAATATTAAGAAACAATCCGATACTACTGTTTGTCCAACACATACAACATATACTAAAGATGTAGGAAGATAACAGTATATTTTTATAGCGCTTGTCAGTCAGGGCTGCCTCAAGATGTTGATATCAAAATAATATTAATAACTCGTTTTGTGTTCTATTTGTAACCGGTAATAGATACGAGCCTGTCATTATTACATCTGTGTGTTGTTAGTAAACAGTCTTAATGTGAATTAAAATAAAAACTAATCAATAAACAAATGACTATGATATACGGTCGAATTGAGAACCTTCTCCTTTTTTTGGAGTCGGTTGAAAATAAAGTTATTTTTGAAATTAGAATTCTTTGCCAAACAAAAATTATTTTAATTTGAGTTGGCCAGTACTGCAGACTGGTAATTCCGTAGGTAAAGATCTAAATATTACCTAGTAACCTAGTACCTAGTAAAAATAATAGTTTTACAAAAGAGCGAAGTACACAAAATGTGTCAAAATTTAGTCTGTATTAAACATTTCGTTCTGCCGATAGATTAGTTTTAAAGACTGGCCATCTGAGCAGAGCAAATAATACTTTTAAGTAGGAGCAAACCTGAAACACTAAGTCACGTGCGTGGCACAGTCCATTCAACATTAATATTAACGGAAAGAAAATAATATTATTTACGTAATAATATGATTTAATAACGAAGTATATTATAAACACATAAAAATGTTCAAGAATACTTATCTACGTTTTATAAAATAAAATTGAAGTATCTGTTTGTAATATTAAAATAACCGCTTTTTACTACATGTATATGGATATACCTACATACGATACACACACCAAAATAACTTTTTTTACAATTTTTGTCTCACTGTCTATGTATTTGTACTGGCTAATCTCTGGAATTGCCGAACCGATTTTGCAAGACTTGTATTAGCAGGTACCTGTTGTACTAAGGAGTAACATAGGCTACTTTTATTTCTTATACGCTGACGAAGTCGCGGGTACGGCACTATAACGTCTCGAAGAAGTACATATGTATGAAGTGACGAGCTAGTCACATATAATTTTACATCTTGGTAGCAGTACACATTTGCAATACAACGCACACTTCTCACTAGCTACGTAACGAGGTCTATAATAACAGTCTGAGAGAGTCAGAATCTATTGCTATAGATAAAAGAGTGAGTCTATTGCTGAGTAATTATTGAGAAGCAGAAAATCTTCCAATATCACTTTATCCACCACAACTACTAGGCACTCTAAACAAGGCAAACATATAATCATTGTATTAGTTACTGTTATTCATTTAAAATTAAAATAGGATTGAATAAAAAACATGAGCAATTTAAATACATTCAATGAACGGTTGAAATTACACAACCCTAGAACATGAACCAATTAATGTCGATGCGAGTGTTTCCATGCCAATCTAAATGTATAATGAACAAGCCAGACAAAAATGTACCTTAGGTAATCGGATATAAAAATGAATTTGTAAAACGCAAAAAAATAAATATTATGACAGTGTAAAGTTGGAATTTTGTATAAAAATATACTTTTTCTCATATTATTATTATTTGTTATAATATTGCAACATACCTAGGCAGTGAAGCATCATCTTTCATCAGTCACTTGTCCAACTCCATTAGATAGTCAATAAAAGTTGACCTAATAATTTTAACAAATCTATCGCCAAACATCTGGTACCAACTGATCTGGTTTTAAGTGTGGGCTAGCCATGCTTCGGCACGTATGGGCCGGCTCGACCGGAGTGATACCACGGCCTCACAGAAAGCTGACGTGAAACAAGGCCCGCGTTGCAGTTCGTCGTGTGATTAAGGTTACCGGAGGCCCAATTACGCTCAACCAAAATAATCGGTTAACCCAAATCAATATACTGACGTCTGTAGGCTGCGCAACGACACCGCCACCGCGTCCGCGTCCGCGCACGCCTTTCATAAGGAAGAGTCCGTCTGTGACTCGAAACTAGTATAGGATTTCGCAGTATATTTACGTGAGTAAATATGTAGATAATATAGTTAATTTTATATGTCTCACGACATTTTCTTATACTTATATTGCCATTAACATAAACTGTCCTATACAGTATGGGACGACATAGGACACAGTGTGCTAAAGGCATTGCTGTCCAGCCTAGCTTGTCGTAATTTATTTTACTTATTAATTGGATGTGTACCTATTTAGTGTACCCATTTCATAATGACTATTTTATAATTACTTCTATTTTTCAATCAACCACAACAATCTTGCTCTAGAAATTTCATTTTATTTACTAAAGTGACGTGGAAAATAACGAAGCCTTTTGATATTTTTAATTATGTTTTCTAGAGCTGAGAAAATTGTTATGTAATTGTCAGCTAAGGCCAATGCCTTAGCTGACAATTATTCAATAATAAGCGACCATATTTTAATTTATTGCTTATGAAGCGGTAAAACACAGGGTTGTTCTTGTTAACAGCCAGTTAATGCTAACCTTTTTTACTTGATTTTTATAATAACTATCGTGAGATATGTCTCATATTAGTATGCTAAAATAAGTAAAATCGCGGGTTACTCACGTGAATATACTGAGAAAAGCTCTACTAGTTTCGAACCACAGAGGGGTTCTTCATCATGAGCAGCATGCGCGGTTGCGGCGACGTCGCGCAGCTCATTGGTATATTCACGTGAGTAACCTGCGATTTTACTAAACTTTTTACTTGATTAGATTATTAAACATAAAAAAATAATATTGACTCAAAATCTTTAGATATTAGGCGGATCGGGTTTTTTTTAAGGGGGTCAATCATCGAATGACTTCTCCCACCTGGGCGAGGCGGAAGGGAGTGTCAGACTCTTACTGACTAAAACCACCCCGTTCTTACTCCTACACTTCCAGCCGGAGCCCCGATAACCCGTTAAGTTCTCCGCGGCTCCGTATCGGCATCAGCTCTATTGGGCCCCATCTGTGGTGGTCTGATGGCTCTTTGAGGCGGGCGCGGAAAGCGACGCGCCATGATGTCGGATCGGATGGATAGGATTTTTGAGATTAGTGTCAAGACAACTTCTTGTCTTTGAGTACACTTTCATATTTATAATATTACTAGCAGCCCGTCCCGGCTTCGCACGGGGTAGACAATTATTTATTTTTGGAAATTTGGATTGTTGTAGTGACATAACTACAATAGTTGGACATATGCTACCGCGGAGTTTTTTGTAGTTTTTTGTTATGATGTTCTTCAATATTTTTTACATTATTTTGTTCTATCGCTAATAGTTTCGGCAGCGCATTCGACGAAAGACATTTTAAGACTCATTTTTCTACACCTTCGGTTACATTGTTCAAATTTTACCAAGGATCCCTAATTTTTTTAAAAATGAAATGTAGCCTATGTCAAACTGGAAGAATGTAGCATTCTATTGGTGAAAGAATTTTTTAATAAATCGGCCCACTACATTTGGGCCTATTCATTACAAACACACAAAATAGGTACAAATCATTCCTCTTTATAATATTAGTATAGAAGTACAGATATAGATATATAATGTGCAAGTTTGTTTGTAATTCTTTTACGTCAAAACGGCTTAAGCAATCGGGATGATAATTGGAATCTCACGGGATGATCAGAGATGTTAAACCACACTGCACTTTGTGTCGCCATTGTGTTTTATTTTCAGGTAGGTTGTGTTATATCAAAGGCATCACGAGTTCAATAAAAAAATAATATAATGACTTGTTAAGAGAGTGATTTAGAAAAATTACGGATTGTATTTGGTAACTACAATACTATGCATGCATACATACAACAACTTACTCCAATGGAAGCAGGAAGAAACTATGGAACGTCAAATGCAACGATTTTTACATACCTCTTTTGCTTCCTTAACAGTCATTGTTTATTTTAACGCACATTTTTCAGTATATTTATTTCATAGATAAGGAACACATTGACGTCATTAGATATATATTTAAACTTTAATTTCAAATAAACTAAATCTTGACAAAGACAGTCAATTTACTACTAAACTAATTAATATTTTGCGGTTGCAAAGATGGATACGTAACCGTTGACAATGACAAACCCTTGCCTCATCCCTCGAAACGAAAACATAATTTACTTGTGTACATGTTTCGGTAACACTGTCTTTCTTGAGGTTTCTCAGGTAGTCTAAATACTGTCTTAAATCCTTTAAATGCCAGGGTAATACCTCAAGAAAGGTTGGCCTCAGGCCACATGGTACCTAAGCACCTCTTGGAACTGACTCTAACCATTACAATTTAACTAGAATAATATCTTAAGAACAAAGTTATAATTAATATTCAAAAGAAGTAAAAGACAAAGTATTAGAAGTAGTTAAAAAATGTGTCGACTCATCAAAAATCGTCTAATAAATTTAAATTAATCATAAAGTTTACTTTGCAAGGAAGTTAAAACCAACTTTGATGGGTGTTAAAGTAATTTAAAATCCCTTTCACTTGATGAGGATAATGACAGTTAATTATCTTAAGGGTAGAAGTGGTACGTTTTAATGACGGATCTTTGAAATTTTAAGTGTAGTGGTGTGCGTTAGATATCTTTGCTTGATATTAAATAAGTCATTTTAGGAGCTATTTTCACTGGGTACTATGGCAGCGTAACCAGTCGCCGTACCAACAGAATGTATAAGCTGGTTGCGCAACCAAGCAGACCCTCGGCGAGTAGTATAGAAAGGACTATAGAGCATACATTATATTGGTAGGGGCGAGTGGTTGCGCCATCATTGAATCCGGGGGAAATATAGCCTTTACTATTTTATAATCCTGACATTTTTAAATTTTCATCATTTCTTCAATCGAGATACCACAAATGCGAGTGCTGAGTTTTCGAGTGAATTCAAGTCCTAGATCAGACAAAACGTAAGGACATTGCCGATTTTCTAAATTTTTAGGAATAAAATAAAAATAAATAAAATAAAATTTATTCATAATTCAAAAACGCAAAATACAAAATATGTTTCAAGTAAGTAAAATTGATCTCATAAAGTTAGATGCCTGCACTAGGACAATCCTGTATCGCAGGCGAAAGGAGCTCTATACATTACTTTTGTAGGAAGACATCTTATTTCTAAAAACGTAACTACATACTTATCATTATGCAACAGTAAACAATATCATTATTTTAATATATATACATACATACAAAATAAAACCTCATACTCTATATTCTCATAAGAGATAGGCAGAGGTGCATATTTAATTATTTGTTATACATAAAAATATACCTACTTACATAACAATAAATCCCCGAATGGATAGGCAAAAATATTGCAACATTATAGTATATACCTAACATTAACATTTATTCAGAATTACAACATATCACTACGACTGAGGAATTGCAAACATCAGCAGGAATATAAACTAGGTTACAATACATTCGGTCATTTTCTAATTACAATAATATGAAATTAATTGCTTAGGCAGCAATAATGTTGTGCAATTTTTGTTCAGGGCAAAGGCTAACCAACTCGGAAAGACCTAAAGTATGATGTGTTTTTATACGCCTTCATAGTCGATTGAGTTGATGTACCGATATTCCGCTATCTTCCTGGCGGGACACTCAACGTCTCCAGTTTTATGCTGGCTGGGTTTGTTAAACCGAGAACAAGATGCGCATTTAAGGGACTCGACTTTCTTAGAACACGCAGATGTTAAATGTCCCACTTCTCCACAGTGGCCACACGATGGGGAGAGCTCCCGGCACGTTTTTGCTGCGTGACCATACTGCTGACATTTGTAGCATCTGGTGACGAGCGTAAAATCTCTGACAGGGCAAGAAGTCCAGTTTATGTAAAGCCTTTCTTGGGATATAAGGGCTTTACGTATCTTTGCTGGAAACTCTACTATGAAGTTACAGGTCGATGCATCCTTTTTTCCAGATTTGTGACTTATTTTAACAGCCGTTAAAAAGGACTCTAATGACATATCTGGGAACTTGTCAGTTATGTTCTGCTCGTATATGCATTTAATTACGTCAGCATCGTTCATGGACGTCGGCACTCCTATAATTGTGAGTCGTGGTTGGCGCTTTTTGGGTTCATCAGCAAAGAGTCCAGACAACGATATGCCTACTGCATCCTTGACTTTGACGGCATCTTCTTTGGTTTCTGTGCTAATTATAACACCTCCATTTTGAGTTCGACGGACTCCGCGCACATGTAGCTTCAATTCTTCAGGACTTATAATTTTTTGCACAATCGATTTAGTTTCATCACTAGACTTCTGTTTATTTATTGGATAAATAGCAACAGAGCACAAGTTGTTAGGTCGCACGAAACTTTTACCTTTCTTCACCATATCAGCGAAAGACTCGTTTTTTGTTGTATTTGAGTTCTTGAGAGTGTTTTTGATCTCCAACATTTGGTCTGATAGATCTTGCTTTTCCCTCAATTCATCCATAATGTTGACGGCTAAGCGGGCTTGCTGCTTTAAAGCTTGGTATAGGACAGCCATTTGCGACACATCAGCACCAATTTTTCGGCTCAAGTTAGAAATTTTGAGTTTTTGCTCCGAATTGAGTTTGCCCTCTGTGGCAATAATACATACTTCGTTCAACTGCTTCTCAATGCTTGCCATCCAGTTCTGAATGTCGGGCGTGGACACAGCTTCTATAGAGAAACCAGATTTACGGCTACTCTCTATTGGTGAGGCACAGGAAGCCAGATCACTCGGTATTTTATCCATTTTCAAACTACAATGATTGGATTATGTTTTCATTGTAAAATACGTAATAATAAAATACGTAAGTTACAGTATCAGCAATTTAGTAGGTCACTGTTGCATTAATTCAATAGTAAGTTATAAATACGTCTGTTCGCATCGAACGTCAATCGCGTGAAGGTGAATAGCGTGTAGGTAACCGATGTTTGAGTACGTTAAAATTATAATACTACGATTATAATTCACTACCGATAAAAATAATCAGAGATCAAAATCCAAAGTACAATCTGGAACATGGAACCACCCATGACCTAGCTCAGCTTCCAACAGCTGCTCTAAGATAAATATTTCACAATAGTTTGCCAATTATTATATAAATAAACTGTAGATAGTAGATATCACGTTATCTCATTGTTGAATTTGTCAGTATGCATCAAACATCACACTATCACTAGACATTAGGCTACGATTTAGTTATAAGCGGAAGCGATGCGGGATACATTCTAGAGAAGCTTTAAATCCAATTCAATATAGATTTCTTTATATGATTCCAGTCTACATAACATAACCTAACATCACACCTTTTATACTTGAAGGGGTAGCAGAGGTGCACATTACGCCACTTAATGCCACTGTACAATGTAACACCCAGTTTTCACTATTTATATAATGAGTACCAGGTCCCAGTCAATAGAAGGTGAGCCTATTTCCAATTCTAGACTCCAAGCTACTACTGATATTGTTTTTAAAAACCTAGCAATACTTTACCTGACCCGGGAATCGAACCCGAGACTCTTCAAGTGAGGCAGACTCGACCAGCGAGGCAGTCTATTGGTTTAAATTTATTACAACTCAATAGAAGCTGTCTCATTGAAAGTTAGTGATCACGAATTTCAAGTGATATAACCAAAAACATTCCACGATTGGTCAAATAAACGACCATGGCGTTACTAAGAATTCCAAATATTTATTTGCTTTCCAAGACATCCATACGTCTACAACATATGAATCAAATTCACTTAATTACCACCCATATCATTAGGAGCGGTTATTGCTTTCGCTTATCACTACATAACAAGATTTGACCTTGTGATGATACACAAAGAACGTACTATCATCGAATATAAGAAGTAAATAAACGATAACGTTTATCATCTCATCGTGTCTCGTCAAAACGATTATTGACCTCAAACCTTGATTTGAACTTGTTAAGGCATAGGACACTAACACAAGCAGACGGATCACTGATAGAAAGCTTTGGTCTTTTAGGGATCGGGAATGGGAATTTGGATATTTACTATTTCTTGTTTCGAGTCTAGGTGTCATGTATATTAGTGAAATGATATATCAGTAAAAGCACAGCACAAAATCCTTATGTGGGCCACCGTCTAAATTAAAAGGTATGGAGGATATTAAGGGGATGGGGCTTCGGTCAACCTCATTCATATGACGAAACACAGCGCTCTGTGTATTTTATATAGTCTTTTACCGCTGTAAAAGACTATATAAAATTAATATCGAAGAAAATCCTAGTCATCAAAATTATATTGCAATTTCTCTTTAGTTACCTATTAAGTTATATACAAGATTAGACGACTATTACTTAGTACTTGACAAGCAATCGCTTGTAAGACCCGTCTTTGGCAGTTATTTGAGCGTATGTATGATCACCGAGACCGATACAGTTAGGTTCTGTGTTAGGTATTGCGGACAACCTATGTAGCTAGCTCAAATTGAATTGAAGCGTAATCGATTTATTGGGTTAGTATGTATATAGTCATGATATAGGCTTATTGTCCGCGTCATCTGATAAATACATGCAATCGTCAAAAACGATTTAACGTTGCCGCTTCGTAGACATTCATTGTTTGTAAGCAATGTACAAGTATTTGTCTTGAAAAATGAAGCAAGTTAGACAGTAGGCCTTTTTTTAAACAGGACAAGTCCGCCACCACCAAGAAGATATAACCATGCAAACAGGAGAACTCTGAAGTCCATCATATAGATGGTTGGCATGCCTCAGCTGTGCGCTTCTCACGTAGCTTTCTGCCTCGCACAGCAAAACTGTGGAATGATCTGTCGTCGACGGTATTTCCGAACCGATATGACCTTCAAACCTTCAAGAAAAAAGCGTATTCCTTTTTAAAATCCGGCAACGCACCAGTGACTCTTCTGGTGTTGCGGGTGTCCATGGTCGGTGCTGATAGCTTACCATCAGGTGATCAGGATCACCTGATGGTAAGCTATCAGCACCGCAAACGATCAAATGTATCAACATCTGATCGTTTGCCTCCCATTCCATAAAAAAGTAATATACATTATTTATGGTTTTCAATCGATTGCTGACGACTGACCTTTAACTCCTGTATCAACCAACCAAGACTTCTAATATAATATCACGTTTTACAAATCTAAATATATTTGCTTAAGTAAATACTTATCGGAAATTAAGGATAAGCCTAACTGGTCAAGTTGTCAAACACAGTTGAACTTTACTTATCAATCAACATCTTGATGGCATTAAGAAGGTAAATCAATTACAATAATTGATACCCCGTTATTCTAAGGTTGTGAAAATAAGATTAAATTGTTAAAAACAAACGGTAATAGTTTATGATTTGCCATACTAATAAGCATTTTAAAGGGTTTTAAAAAAACAAAGGTATATAAATGATGCATTTATTTGACTCATCTACGTAACAATTGATTCTAGGAACTAGTCAATTGGTTCATACATATCATCATTAAAACTAACTTATGCTCATAAAAATATGTAACGGTTTGTAAACCTCATTAGTTTCATTACATCGCTTCGTTGACACATTAACGACTCATTTTATCATTTAAAACAAATTTGCTCTAACATTCTTCTTCTATCTTCACAATTCACATTAAATATTCAATTCACAACACAACGGTCACCGCACTTGTTTATTTTTACCTAATAGATCCATTTCTATTTGCTCGGCAGATTTACCTTTTGTCTCTGGTAAGAATATTAAGCTGACTAAAGCCCCACAGAGGTTGATACCGGCGTAACAATAAACCACAGAGTATACCCCAAGAAAGTTCGCAACGGCCGTAAACGAAGCCAGCTGGAGAAAGGACATGAACCACGCGTATGTCACTAGACAACCCATTACTTTTGCGCGTATCTGAAATAAAAAGTACAATAAGTATGCAAATAATGTAAGTAATGTCCTGTCAAAACCATCTTTGGTTTTGATATTATTTATGTGCTCAGCTGTAGGAAATGTTTCCTTCTTTTCGTTGTGAAAAAGATATTATTCTTAAAAGTAGATGGTCTACGTTTGAATAAATTAAATAATGTAGACTTATCTCTAATTATATGTCGCTTTTAATGAGCCACGGGGACATTATAACGTAGTTGTGAGTTTAACCTTGTAGCTGTTTCAATTTGTACAAAGTATTACATTACCTACTTGAAAATTAAACATTTCTGCCATAATAATGTATGGCATAGGTGAAATTCCACCAGCGTATACAAAGACGTACAACACAATAGCCAACACGGCCAGCCATCCAGGTGTAGCACCTCCTTGAGATTGGAGTAACATTGTTGTTCCCAACACTGCATGAGCCAAAATTGCTACAGCAAACGTAACGCTGATGATAGGCTGCAAAAAATGGTTACTCAGTAAAAGCATGAGCCTAAAGCTAGAAGTTCTTAAGTAGTGAGAACTGAATTAGCAAATTGTTTGATTGTAATGACACAAACGTTGGATCTACAATCAAAATATGAGAATAAACTTATCTTTGTACGAAGCGGATACATATTAATAAAAGAACTACAGAAAATTCAGTATCTTGTAAAATGTATAATTTCACAGAATAGACATCCAAAAAAATACATAATTATATTTAGGGGCTTACTTTCCGACCGAACTTTTCCACACAACTCATAGAGATAAATGAGGCAAGGATCATAACTGCGGGGAAACTCAACGTCTGTAGCTCTGGATTCCACGTGACGCCGGCTGATTTCATAATGGCGGGCGAATACGTCAAAGTGGCAAAGTTACCGCTGTTTGTTTGAAATGTCACCAAAATCAAGATGAGGATGAAACCACGACGCCACGCCTTGTTCTTGACTGAAAAAAAGATTATTCCGGCTATAAGTTAGTATAAATTATTTCTTCATAATTAATATTGAGTTTATAAAAAGGTTAATCCCAAGCATTTTGTGTTTACAGTATAGACTGGAATTATATCTACCCACTCAGTTCTAGTAATAGACTCACTATCAATTACATTATAGAATGAAAAATATAACTTGGTAAATATAAATGACCTGTAATTGCGCCATTTTAATTTATTTATGCATAAAGTCGGATTTAGAAATAGGAATAAATAAGAAACAAATTCTAGATAAAGCCGTTTATCAAATTATTTCGGAATTATTCTGGAACCGTCTTAAGTTTAACCTAATATTCTTTTGTTATTTAAGATTAGGGAGGTTTAAGCTAATAAGTGTTTTATAAGAAAAAACAAATTACAATAATAATAAAGAAGTAAGTTTTCATAGTACTTTATACCTACTAACAACCGGACCTAAACCTCCATCCTGGTTAGTAGTTTTATATACGACAAGGAATTCATTTAAGGGTAGCTTAATATTTACAAAAATCCCTCAACTGTAGCTATAAAAATAACCAAATGTAAACATTACAGAAACCAGTCAGCACAAAGTATGTAGTTTCAGCTGTCCAAATGTTCGGTAAATAAATCTCGCTTTTCTACATATGTGACATGATACATTCAACATGCTTTAATCAGAGGTAAAATAAAGGCAACAATGAAAAAATTGTATTCCCTCGTGCAACAGTGCAGACTAAATAAAACAAGATTTAATTAAATTACAATGAACGTCAAGACACACGACATTTTTCACGAATAGACAGTCTGGCTATGTGTGGAACGAACTGATATTAAAAAATATAAAAGAAATAAACTTTGTAACTTACATATACTTATGAAAGAAATCTTCGGCAGTGAATTATAAGTAAGCTCTTCATTTTTCATGAAGTCAATTTCGTTTTGTATAACTTTGTCGGTGACTTCTAATTTTCGGAGGAACGCTATAGTTGACGCCGCCTCCTATAATACAAAAAATATTCTTAACTTATTTATCAACTTCACTTAGTCAGGCATGTTTTTAACACTTACCTCAATTCTTTCACGTTTTACCAAAAAGGCTGGTGACTCAGGTGCCTTTAACATCAGTATTATAGTTAATACTGGTACCCAAACCACGATCCACAACACAGTGTAGTAATTTAGGTATGCTCCCATCGCAAACATTGCCAGTATTCCAATATTTTGAAACAGAATTATGAAGGATCCGAGCACCCCTCTTATGTCATCCTGGCTTATTTCCCTGACGTACATTGGTACTACGTTGTAACAACCGCCGGCAGAGAGCCCAGCACACAACCGAGCTGTGATTAATACTGCTATGTGTGCTGAGGATAACTTCATTATCCAACATAGCTGAAAATGATTTATAAAAAGCAAAATACACTAATCAATAAATTTGGAAGGATTCATGAGTAGTCCTTTCCTTCACTATGGCTATTTTGGTAGCTTTATAACAGACAAATTCAAGGATACTTCGGTCCTACAAGGTCTTCAAACTCGTTAATATAAACGTAGTTATCCCCGGTAATACACTAACTAACATGGATAGCTCTACACTTAATGTAGCAAATGTTCACTGAATCCAATTTTGTATCCTTGACCAATTCAGAGAAGGTATCAGTTAAGCCTAACAATTAACATAAATAAACTGATTGTTCTGGAACCGGCCTTGAACCCAAAACATTTACGTGGAAAGGATGGGGTACAGATGTGCCATTACATCTTTTTCTATTGCCTATTGCTTGAAATCTGACTGAACGAAATGTCTATTATTAATGGTTGAGAGGATACTATGTAAGTAAACATTATTAGGTTTAATTTTAACTACAAAGAAATTATCAAAACATTATTAAATGTGCAAAACTTTGAAATAAACATTTCATGTGAATGTAATAATAATTATGTCCCTACATAAACAAACTAAAGAAAGCAAAATACGAAATAGAAAAACACTTACCGCTTGCAAAACAGCCATTATTAAAATTGCTACTTTCCTCCCATATCTGTCAACGATATATGCGAATAGAGAGACACCAACCGTCGCGGCTATACAAAGAGAGCTTGCTATCCATGATATTTCATAGTCTGACAACGGATAACCGGCCGGCGAATCCTCTGATTGTAAAACTTTTGTCATCGGTGACACCCAGCCCGCTTGAAACCCATATGTTAGGAGTGTGGTATTCGCTACAAATGAAACAGTTCCGTTATTTCCTGATAGACATTGCGCGTCGCGCGCTTTTAAATTTGTTTTTTGCTGTTTGCTGCTTGGTTGGAATGAAATTGGCCGGGTCAGCGAAATACACGGCCAAGTTATGGGTTTAAATGTGATCACGTGACCGCAAAATTGCTTGGAGCTGAGTTTTATTCGTATTTTATGTGAAATGTCAGGATTCATTTTCTACATAGTTTGAATTAAAAAAAATAGTTGCCAAATTGCAGTTACGCAAACCAAGTTTACTATATGCAAGCTTGTCGGGTCGATCTTTAAATTATTGACTTAGGCTCAACATGTTAATAGATTAAAATTTAACACGTACTTTTAATTCATGGTCAAATAATAGTTTAATTTTTTTTTTTTTATGGTACAAGCCCGCCACAACCTCCCAAAACCGCTGCAACTCCTGTAAGCCAGGATCTACAGTAGATACAACCATGAAAACACCGGAACATTGAAGTCCGGCGCGTCCCAGGGACATGAGTAACTGTGTAATAGTTTAATTATTTCGATTTAATAATACCTAACTACCATTTTCAAAGTCGTTCCGATGTAAACGTTACTTACCCTTATTACCTAATCCAGATGAACCCAACTTTAAACGTTAATTGAAAAAATGCTTATATTTCTTAATAAATGAATATTTTACCTAGCACAGCCACCAACAATTGCATACAAGAATTCCCCTTCTTGCCACTAACTATATTTTCTGTAGACACTGCCATTACTTCTGGATAACGTTCACAGTTCACATAACAAAGTGCAATGTTAAAATGACATCGAATAATACTTTGCACAACATTTTCTACAAACAATGAAGGTAGATCTTGATAACTGTATACATATTTATAGCAAACATTATGTAATCGGAACTGAACAAATTTGCATTAGAATTAGAAAATACAGAAAATAGAGTGCTGTGTTGAAAAATACAGGAACGTGTGAAAAAATTGCGTCTTTAAAAGAACTTAAAGTTCGTTTGTTGATGTATTTTTTCCTTTAAGCGGAAGCCTTTTCTGAACTGTATACTATTTAGCATGTGACTTACTACGTCTTGCGTATTACCTATCATTGGCGTGCTGATATTTATTTTTAGTGATTTAGAAAATTTTATACTGTTATTAATTATTATGCCCATTAAACAGGTTTATTAATAATTAATCAATAGTCGTCGAGTACCGGTTTTGTAGACACAATTATAGAACAATAGGTTGCGGTCACCGGTGACCGCGTGGTGTTTGACAGTTTAAAATAAGAAAATCTGCGATTCTTTAATTTTAGCTTCTAAAGTAATAAATAAATTTTAGAAAATTCGGTGATTCAAAAACACGAGTTCGTTGACAGAAATACACGTGGTTCTTTCCTAGAACAGTTTGACCGAGTCATGGTATCGTCACTCTGGCTCGCAGAAGGTCCTAAAATACCTCGGAAATTAGTAACATTACTTTAGGAACGGTAACCGCAAGCCATCCTACACCTACACGCGTTTAAAGGCAACTATTTATCCTCATCCACACTTTAGTAAATAAGTACTTTAACATTGGATCCTTTGTAATTTTTGATCCTCTGAACTTTCATAAGGTTTCCTATGTATTTTAATTAAATTCATGTACTAAGTGACACGTGAGTATACCGTATGGTGATGAGGACTACAATATATTTGTCATCACCCCTAATCTTCTTGGGTATTGTAAGTGCTAACTAAGAGTCTTCAAATTTGTCAAAATGTGGGCAATATTACTCCTTGATAAACTAACTAAAGTCTGTTTTTCAAGCTTGGAGGTTAAAATACACCTTTTCAGTATATCAAACTCACAATTTTTCGGACTGTTGATGATGACAAAGTGACGATTTTAGACTTTATTCAAGAAAATTTTCTTACAAGTATTTTTAGGTAGACTACATCCCTTTAATAATACCAAAAGAGCAAAGAGACATAGCAATAGCTGCTATTAAACTTCATTATCTTAAGCACACAATAATAGGTTTATAGGAGACGCAATGACATGACAATGACATTTACACATTGATAAAGGTTTTATTCATATTACCTATCTACACGTGATTCGTTGTTACTTTATTATTTTTAACCGACTTCAAAAAAGGAAGACGTTTCTCAGTTTGACCTGTTTGTATGTATAGACATTACTTGCACTCAAATGCATTGCAATGTATTGCACACAAATAGTTGTGGGCAATTATCTTGCGATTGGCTGAACCGATTCTGATGTGGTTTTCAGCAAAGTTTTTGTTTAACTTAGGCGAAGGTTTTAATGTATTATAAACCGACGCAAAAAAAGAGGGGGTTGAAGTAGGTTATCTTAAACGTAGTTTATAAAAAAAAGATAACATAGAATAACTTAGTGGTCGCAGTTTTCATTCAAACGGCGAAATATAACGCACGTTACTGTATCACTTTTCTGTAAGGTCATGATCGAGATCGTGGAAGCCATTCCAGTCAAGCCGACCCATTTGTGTGTAAGCATGGCGTTCCCAGATTAATGATTTTGTCTAGAAAAATAAAATTCGATTTTTTTTTAATTTTCGTGTATTATGTGACAAAGATTTTGATGGTTATTAAATTGTCTAGTCTACTTCTATTTGTAATACAATGTACAACTACAGCCTAACCATTGTCGGTAGGTTATGAATTTTAGTCTTAACTTTAATACCCGTGTTTATTTATTCAGAAAAACTATTTCTGGTCTCTATTTGTTCGAAATAAATTGAAATAGCTGTTTGATATTTGCCTGTAACTTAGTCGGAAATCAGACATGTTTGTGTTTGAGAGACGCCAACAGTAATTATTTGCACTTACATAAATAGAAATTGAGTAACATACCTACAATATTATGAAATTTTTGTTTATAATACAGCGTGGATGATAATTTTTTATTTTATTTATTTATTTATTACAACACCTTACAATATGACATCTTACAGTTTATTCCAATTCAATATCACATTTCCTGACACATTTAAGTCTAACACGTAACTTAATTAGGGGTAATAAAAATTTCACCTTAACTATTAGACTTCCACGTGTGGTTTTGGTTGAGAACACGATGATTGCCAAACCAGACAATGATGAAATGTTGGCTGACCATACTTTTCCATGTAAAATTTTCAGTGACATCAGAGTCCACAATTACACAATCAAAGTATAGTAAGAGACTTATTACGTAAAACCACAGAACATAAATATAATGTATGTAAAACACTTTAGAAACTAATATTTAATTCTGTCAAATTCAAATCGTTGTTAGTTTTAGAACAATATCGAGGTCGTGTCCTCATTGTTAAAATAGACCAGAAATTGAGATCTTTTATTAAAAACTCGTGAATTTTTTTATGAGATAAGTTGGTAAACGAGCAGACGGATAACCTGATGGTAATCTTTTTTATGTGTTCTATGTGGTAAGTAATTCGCGCCGCCCATGGACATCCGAAAACCTAAAGGCGTTAAAAGGGCGTTACCGGCATTTTGAGGGGGAAATTGGGGCTTTGGTAACCTCACTCACACGACGAAACACAATGCTGTGGTTGTTATATATCAGTTTTCTGCTCCGTCGTGGTATCACTCCAGTCGAGCCAGCCCATTCGTGCCAAAGCATGACTCTCCCACTCTTTAAATACAAAATAATTACTTTAAGAAGTCACTGGTAAAGTAAAGTCGATGGTTGCACGCATAAATGTTGAAAAGGTGGATGAAATTTGGTTATAAATTCAGGAGAAGTATTAGTGTCTTTGTCAATTTCAATTTTTTTAACTCCTGTTATAGTTAGGATGAAACACAAATACTTTATTTTATAATCAAGGTAGAGGTATAGGGTATATTTATCTTATTTAAATCTACAAATCTATGTACCCACTTCCTGATTCATTTATGCGTACATAGGTTTGGTGATCAAGTAACAACTTATATGGCAAAATATATAATATTAGAATACTACCTATTTATTCTTCGCTAAAGAACTAGTCGTTCAGAATATACAATACCAAATGCGCCAGTTATATTACAAAGTCAAATTCTCATTCTCATTAATGCTCAATTCGGTCACTACACATCAAAATGACTAGGTATGTACCCTTATGGCTGATAAAATAATATCAACAAGACCTGTACATCCCAACATTTGAACTAACTTTGTAACAAGTTACCCTAATCACTGTCGAATAGTTAAAGCAAATACTGAGAGGTAACATGGCGCTGCAATCGAGTTCTGCCTGACTAAGTTACTAAGCACTTTAAGTTTGCTTACGTATCATTTCGTTGCTATTGGGAAGGCAAATCAATTACAATAATTAATATGGCTGACTTGAGAACATCGGGCTAGAAGCTGTGTATCTTTCATTTAGACTGTCAGTTAGTAGTTCGGCTAATTATTTTCTGTATGAGTTTCTGAAGTTAATTCTCAAATATAACAAAATTAGCGTACATTATATGGAAATAAGGCCGTGTGATAATGGCCCAGTCACTTTTTTTATTCTTTTAAAGAACTGATTAAAGGCTCAATGTATTTTGACAGAGACAGGATTATAATATCCTTTGATAAACTGATACTGCGAACTCCAACCTGTCTTCTAACCGTGAAGACTATGACAACTTAAGTAGAGAAAAAACCTTTGTCCAGCAGTGAATGCCTTCCAGCTGTTGATGGTAATGATCATGTAGAGGGCTCATAGTTCAGCGGTGCACGATCACAGACTGTGAATTTGATAGTAAACCTAGACACACCAAAAAACTCCTAACATAATGTGTATGTGAACTTATATGTTTGTAAATGCACCCACGACACAGGAGAAAATCCTTGTGTGGGGCAAAGTTTTTTTTTTTTAAAAATTGTTCATTAGGTACAGAAATTAATGACAACGGATTTAATGCAATATTGCCACACATAAAATAATTATATCACAAATCCTATCACGTCTCTGTTCTAGAATCAAGACCAAGTTTCTAGAGGGAAGTTCTTATACAACACGAAACTATTTCCTTATTTATGAGATTATGATAATAACTACAAACGAGGGCTGGAATATTAAATACGCGTTTTGGTGAAACCCTTTCAATACTACTTAGTTTATACGATACGATTTGAATGTTGATAGTTCGTAATAAAAAACCAAACAGCGCATGAAGTGACCCTAAATTCTTCAATAAATTTTCAACCATCTTGTTCTCTGTATAAAGTTGAAATTCGGTTAAAGAATGTTTACAGATTAGGTTAGTTTGTTGTGCTTGTGTCTGCCTCGATGGGATGGCATGTACTTATAGTTCCTAATAGTTATGCAGACACGGGTTGATGAATTGATCCCAAAGGAACTGACGAAATGCCTTTCAATGTGTACGATCGTTTCGTATCGCTTATCAATATGAATAGGCTTGATATTCCCAAATATTACGCGATAAAGAATCATTGCTTTTGTTTGTAAAATTCTCAGAAATTGCAAATAATCTGAAATAGTTAAGTTGTATATAGTTGGAGTTGTGCACTGGTTTTGTCTCCCTAATATATAACCAACGAAAAATTAGTGCTTGTACCTATTCCAATACTTTTAATTATATTGTCTACTTTCTCTACCACCTTTTCATTCGGAAAATATAAACACATACATGCCTAAAATAAGCATTCCAGGTACAATTGTTTGTAGTCTATATGTCTATAAATACACACACAACAATAAAAAGTAGGTCAATAATACAAACAGTTTTAAATCAATTAGGCTAATACTGATCTATTACAATTATTTAATAATTCATGTTTAATAAACCGGTAATTGATGTGTCGTAGTTTTATACT